GGCGTCGGGGGGCGCGTCCGAGGGTTCAGGTGCTCCGCTCACCGGGCGTGGGCCGGAGAGAGCCCGCTTTGTGGTTCCGATACGGACCGAGCGCACGCCGGAGGAGGGTCCCCACCTGCGCCCGCTCCCGTGGCAGGAGGAGAGGGCGGTGAGGACGCCCACCGAAAAACCTCGGAGGCTCCGGCTGGTTCCGAGGCCGGCGGTTGCACGGGCTGTACGATCGTGGGCCGCTGGACTCGGGTCGAGCGCCTCCGAGAGTCCTGGCCGCGCCGCGCACTTTTGTGCGAGTACCCCGCGGAGAAGCGGGGCCTCGGTACCTCGGGGAGGAGAGCCAGTGTGGGCGACCCCGGCAAGGCGGAGGCTCGGAGGCTGCGGCAGAGTTGTGGGAAGCGGGACGCCCCAGTTGGGGGGGCGGCGTTGGTTAGGAACCCGTTGGAGTTGATTGTGGGAGTGTGAATGAGGGCACCCCGCTTTGTCGGGGGATGGCTGCGGAGGGTGAAGAGGCGGGGGCCTGTTATTGTTGATGGTTGACTGCGTGCCAGTTGCACACGAGGTGCACGGGCGTTGCACACCGCTCTGCGGATCCCCCTCCACCTTCTAGCAGGACACCCCCCAGTGCTCCGGTCTCCATCGAGCCCCCACGGTGGTGGGGTTTGCCCAAGGTAGCACTGGAGCCCTGTGCCTTACCCATGAGCCAGTGGGGAAAGGCCCGGCTTCTCAGTAGCTTCTGTGAAACCTGCCAAGACTGCTGCTGAGAGGGTAGCTCCAACTCCCCAGTGATTGTACTTGGATGAACAGCCCAAGTGTTGTCGGCCCTGGTGCGAGAGCTCACACACATGCCGCTTGACACAAGCCTGCCAGGGACAGGGGCACTGACATTGAACGACACACACACACACACAATTTCAAAAATGTCCGAGCCATTAAATGAGGGAAGAAAAACCTTCTGTAAGGTGGAGGGAAGGGCACCCCTGAAATTTGGGGGAAATTAGAATATAGTCAGCACTTATTTTTGATATCTTTAACAGATCTAGTCACTTTCTTAGTTGAAGAACAAAAACGACTTCTGTGTGACTTGATATGTTCACATGCTCACAATGGGTAAAGTTAAAGGTTGGAAGGGAAAAAAGAAACACACACAGTTCCGAGAGAAAGGCATCTTCTGGGCTTTCTGATTTTCTCTAGGGAACAACGTTCCTATGGACCCCCCCACCCCTTTTATCTCTGAGCCCACTGGTGCTGACAGACCGAGTCCCACCGCCGGACACATGCAAATTCAGACAGACACACCAAGGTCGCGCCCACACTTGTGCACACTCATCCACATGTGTGTGATAGGATCGCTGGCGTGAGAAACCAGAGTGGGGCTTTGTTGTTGATTGCCTCAAGGGTGTGAGCCAGGGAGCCTGATGGAGTTCTCAGGTCTGTGTCTTAGCCCAGGAGAGGCGACACAGGCACACACGCTTATGGGGCTATGTGTGCCAGGCCCCAGGGCCCTTGTTGTGGGTGTGGTGGGTGCTGGTGCTCAGAGTAAGGTGGGGGTGTGGTTTGGGTCAGGTGAGGTACGACTACCTGAGGAGCCCCCCCCCCCCCCCCCCCCCCCCCGCTTTCTGTTTTTTCCTCCCTGTCCTCATCTTTTTCACCCCTCACAATTTGAGGCAGGCCCTAGCAGGAGCTGGCATCTGGAGACCAAGGACCTGAGGGGCTGACCAGGAGACAGAGACCTGATGAGCTGTAGCCTCTCCCCCATCCCTCTCCTGCCCCCTCAGCTGTGAGAGGCCAGGCCAATGTGCCCCTAGGAAGCAGCAGTGCCTCCGGAGGGTGGCTTTCAGCAGTTCCTTTTGGCAACCTCAGACCCTAGTGTCTTCGGTTTGTGTGTGTGAAAATGAAAGGAAAAGGAGAGATGCCTCAGGGCGTCGATCCTAGCCCTGCCAGTACCCCTACTCACCCTCCAGTTCTCCCTCACTGGGAGATGGAATAGGATAGTACCCACCTCCTACGGCTATTGAATCCTTAATGTGTGTAAAGTTCTTAGCACATAGCTATGGCTATTCAAGGATTTGCTGTTATTGTTATTATTACCCTAGGGTTTGCTCCTTGGGGGACCTCAGAAGTGAAAATTTATGTTGTGCCCTTACCGTGTTGGAGGGCGATCACAGGAAAGAGTAATGGGGGAGGGAAGGTTGGTCTGAGGAGGGAGAAGTTGTCACCTCACCTCCCTCTCCCTTCAGCTCCGAGCAGCGGGAAGGAAAAGGATGGGAAGAGAGCTGTCTCTGACTCCAGCCTGTCCCCCACCCCTGTTCTGGAGCTGGAAGGTGGGATGGGTAGACTTGGAGGTCCTGGGCTGTGACCAGAGAGCAAGCACTGAAGATTTCTTCAGCGCCCCAAGCTCTACGGGCGGGCGGGGTGATCCAGTCTCCTTGCTCCAGCCTTCCATTTGGCTTTGCCAGTATATAGTTTGCCCTGGGCCTAGGGGAGACTTTGGCTCTCTGCATGGGGGGCTGGGGGAGGAGGGCATTATATTTAGGCTCAGGGTCCTTGAGCTAAGGGTGCTGCCCCTCATGGACCCACTCATCAGATACTCTCTAGTACCTGGTTGCTCTTCCCTCCCTGCACACTTGGGGTTCAGTAAAACTCTGTATCAAAGGATTGCATTAGTTTTCTGTGAGGATGGAGCCAACTAGCTTGTCCTCCCTGGTTAAAGAAATACCCCTCCTCTTGTCCTTTGATTGATTACCCCACCCCCCAACACGCTTGAGGTCACACACACACACAGTTGCCCTCGGATTTACCCACAGACACAGGGAAACAAGACACAGGGAAACAAGACCACCTTGTTGCTCACTTTCCTTTCGAGTAATGCTCTCTAGTCTCCCAAGGCAAGATCATTCTCTGTTTCAGAACCAAGAACGGGTACGGGAGTGGGGTCCAGTAGGCGAGCGGACCAGGAACGGGGTGTGGGATGAGGAAGGCTGTTTGAACCATAGGTCCCTTATACCTGTGATGGGATGGGGAGGCCCCTGCTGGAAATGTCAGACCCTTTGGAGAAAAGAGAAACAGTTGTGAGATGGAAAGCCAGCGCAGCCCCCTCCCGGCCAAGCCCCAAGCCACGTTAGCTGAGCTGCGGCTGCAGGGGAATGGGTCCCTGAGGGAAAGAGGCAGGGTGTGCGTCCCGCTCTTTCTCAGGCTCTTTCTCAGGCGGCAGCAGTGGCCACTGTGTAGGTGGTGGCTGAGGGGGGACAATGGCCTGGGGTTTTTGTGGCCGGCTCACTTGTTTGAGTTGCCTCTGGTGGCCCCCACCCTCCCTCCCTGTTTGTCATGAGCTGGCACTAAAGAGCTGCCGCGGAGGGACAGTGGCGGGCATTTGGGGGGACCAGTTTGCTTGTCACTGCCTCCCCTTTAGCCAGAACTGCTGCTGCCACCGCTGCTGTGGCCTCAGCGGCAGCGAGCTAAAGCTGAAGCTGCCGTGGGCAAGGCCTCCGCCACCCTCCGCCACCGGCCTTATACTAATTAAACAGCATGAAGAGGCTGAATCACCAGGCCTGCATAGTTTTAAAATTGTAGCCCTGCCTGTTGTGCTGAGTCAAACTGGTTTGTCGGGATTGGGCAGCTGGGGGAGGGGAGAGTGTGGGGAGGGAGCCTGGG